TAACAAGTGTTTTGGTATCCCGAAGTTAGTTTGCTAACTCTTTAAACTTAGTTTACTGCAAAGTAGATCTTTGGCTGTGGAATCTCAGTTTATACCTATGGAAAGAGAAAGTTAAAGGTTGTCTGGCTTATTCTGACTTCTGCTTCTGTGCTATTGCTCCGTCCATTTTTTCCTACAGACCAGAGCCACGGGAACAGTTTGCTTTTTTAATAGCATCCTAAAGAGGGGGGTTATATCATTTTGTTCAGATCGCTTGTGTTATATAGGTAGAATCATCTTACTCCTTTATTCACCAAGTATTTGTTCAGTGCTTACTGTGTGCCAAGCTCTATTCTCACTGGTCTCTTGGCTTTCCCTACGGCTTTACCGGGTTGCTTGGGTACCAGCCCGTGCGTTAGATGACCCAGGCAAGCATACACAGTCAGGAACCAGCTCTTTTTCTGGCTGCCCAGTTCAGAATTCCTCCTGCCTGCCGTGCTCTGACAGAGATTGTATCAGCCTGATAGGGGAGGCTCCAGCTGCTTTATGAGACATGAAGCCCTAATAAAAAGCTTTCCATCTGTGATGATGATTGTGACAACGATGGTAAGAAAATGAGACAATGCCAACCCTGATTTGGAGAAGTCACTTTGTGTTTTCCTCAACACACTTCCTGCAGAGTGTCAAAAAGCAAGGGGAAGTAGAAGTCAACCAAAATAGTTAGTGGTGGCAACAAAAAACTTTCTAACAATCTAGGCTTAATAGGATCGGTAATATTAGTAGTTGGAGAATTTCATCAGAGGCGCCACACCCTTTATACTCTCCTATATCATATTTTAAGAGTAGATACACTTGTAAGGGAAATAAAACTATCATTTAGACTTTCCCAGGTATCCTTTTTCAAAGTAATGGAGTATATTTCAAGAAATGAAGTAACTCAATTCTTTCAGTGATTCTTTGATTATATGTTTTCATGAGATTTTATATTTGTGTCTTTGCCTTTAAACCACAATTGTATGGGCTTTATTTTTTTGAAGAAACGCGCTGACTATATAATGAATTCCCATAATTTAAGTCAAGAAAAATAGTGTTTGCAAAATTATTGGAAAGTTCCATTTTACATCTCTCAGCGCAGGTTATAGTCATAAAATATGTGCCATGGGAGAATTTGTTTGTGAAGACTTAACTCAAAGGGTTTCCTGAAAATTACTTTTGGAAATTGCCCACCTACCCCAGAAACTTTTTTCAAGAGATATTTAGGAACCACAAAGCTTTAAAATATGGGTACACACCACACACACACACACACACACACACACACACACACAGACATTACTTCCAAAGAGAATTTAGAATCTCCAACAACAGAAGTATACAAGGATCATCACCTAATGGACCATTAGGAAAGAAATTTAGATTTCTTAAGTTATTGCCATAAGCATTTTTAATATTTATACTTGTGTGTACATATTTATGTTGCAGATATGAATATACATACATACATGCACACATAGATATCATTGTATAACATTTGTCAGGTTGTTTTTTAAAAATAAAAAAGGAAGGAAAAGATCAAAAATCTCCCTGCCCAGATAACCATCACTGACATTTTTTTTTTCCTAAGGGTGGGGAGGGGCAGAGAGGGAGAGAGAGAATCTTAAGCAGTCTCCATGCCCAGCATGGAGCCCACCTCAGGGCTCGATCTCACAACCTGGGATCGTGACCTGGGCTGAAATCAAGAGTCGGAGGCTTAACTGACTGAGCCACCCAGGCGCCCCCACTGATGACATTCTTAAGGTAAAACTAAAACAAAACTAAACCTTAGGCCATCCCAATTAATTAAAGCCATTACATAGAAAAAAATCCCTCTGTTTATTCCTCCCACTTGTTTCTGCCATCCCATTTCCCTAAAGGTAACCATTGTTAAGTTTTTGGTAATTCCTTCTAGGAAAAAAAAAAAAGATTTTAAATGGAGGAATAACGTGTAAGTCACATGAGCGCGGTAACAGCCCCCATGTCCGGAGTTGACTCTCCTCTGGCCCTTCAAGAACAAAGCACTACCAGAAATGCCCCGGTGCAGATGACAAGCAACAAATTGGTAGAACAACAAAAAGAGAGGTCACATTAACTAGAGTAGAACATAGTGATGATCACACAAAGAGCTCCTACTCACAGGATTGAGAAGAGAAGAGACACTGAGGAACCAAAAGCTATCCTCGTGATTGACCCCATGTTAGCCACTCTGCTTCTTGATGAGAAATGATAGTCGTGAAGCAGGACAAACAGTTCCATTATGTTCTGGATAATCACTTTAAGGAGTCGGAGAAACATATGATATGTAAAACAATTTTGGAGAAGCATCAGCTAGAAAATGCATTGTGGAACACTTACTTCCAGAAGACATTGAATAAACAACGAGAACAAGGGCAGAATTTGCCCTTTACTTTCAAAAGACCTCATTCCGTTTTTCTTTAACTCGAGGTCACATGTACGACAGCCCACCTGGCGCAGCCCTTATTAGGGGCGGAGGGGGGTGCAGCTTTGCCCAGCATGGGCTCCGGAGTTGGGTCTGGGTTTAAATTCTGCCTCCATCACTGCCTGGCCGGATGACTTAGGGAGGTTACATACCCTCTCATCTGGGAAGACAAAAAAAAGAACAGCTGCTTCAGGGTGGGTCGTTGGAAGTTACCCCAGCACCTGCCCCATAGTAAGGACTCAAGAGTGCTACCTGCTCGGGTGGTGGAGATGATGCTGGCACTATTATGTGTTCTGTTCAAATCACTCTGGTTTTCAGAATCAAATTATGAAAGAGCCAGCTCAACACCTCTGTCTTTCCTTTGTTTAATCATTACTTCTGATATCCTATAACCACATGTTTGCATGTGGGCACCTCCAACAGTGCTTAGACTAGACTGTGGTCAGACTAGAGCTGGTCTGTTCCAGGGGCTTCAGGATTCCGTTCACTGTCCTGTGACACCAGGATGTATGTTTTTAATGTGTAAACATCAATCTTCTTGCTGTCTGTCTGCCATTCAAGCCTGTGAGGTGGCAAAATGTCACCAGATCGGGGTCAGATGTATCTCATTTTCTCCTAGGTCATTGAGTAAAGTCAAGGTGATCCCCTTTCTGTGGCCACAGCCCTGGGCTTCCCAGGCCTTTCCCTTTTTGCTCTTCTGAGCTATGCCTCCCCACCAACGATCCCCAGGCTTCCTAGCCTTCTGAACATTTTGCCTTTGGTTGTCCCATGTCCAGCTCCTCTGGCTGGTTTCAAGTTTACAGGGGTTCTGCCTGTCCATGTAGGAATACCCCCCAGTCCCTGTTCTTATTTCCCCTTGAGTTTAGTGAGAGAAAAATCACAAGAATATGATGGCGCTCAATAAATATTTTCTCCCTTTCCCCCTTTCCTCCCTCCTAGCCGTTCTGTAGTGGGGGCTCTTCATGAGGCCTGTGAAGCTCATTCAGTCAGCTTGGGCTCTTGACAAAAACCTCCACTGACATGTAACACATGGGACACAAAACTTTCATTGGATGTTTCAGAGAGGAAAAGATTTAATGAAGGAAAGATTTAATATACCTAGACACATCCATACTTAGTCCAAGTAGCACCTTTGTGCACTAGAAAAAGCTACCCCTTCTGTGCAGATGCAGCTCACGGCAGGGCGTGCATCTTCACAAGCAGAACAGCAGAGCAGGTCCCGGATGCCAGCCACCCCACTAGGCAGTCTCCTGTATGGCCTGTGTGATCGTCCTGTGCTCAGAGCTGGTTCACTAAAGTCACTAAAGAGAGGTGCAGCCACTGTAAGACTAGTCCTAACAGGAGAGAGGACTAGCAAGTCTGCAACCCACGGTACCGCATATTAAACTCCCTGCTCTAGATCTGGGAGTCACCGCTGTGCTAGTGATGGTTCCTATCTCCTGACTACTTAGCATACTCTCTGATACGCTCAGCCACACTGAGCCTTTTATGCACGTTACCCACTTGGGGTACAAAGCATGTATGAGGTAGAGGTCTCACCTATAGATGAGAACCATGGCTTAGGGAGGGTCAGGGAATTGTTCAAGGCCCCACAACTAGATATCCACTGGGCTTAGACTCAAGCCTAGGTGTATCAGACCCCACAGGTACTGGTTTGAGGAATTCTGCCTTGGAAACAGCCTTAGCTTAAGCCCTTATAATCTCTTGTGTGGGCAGGTACAGGGATGCCTTACTCAACCAAGCTCCTGTAGTCCTCCTGCTACTTTCCTCCTTAAAATCTGTAGTAACTCCCATCATCTACTGACAAGATAAGGGCCAGACCCCTTAGCATGAGAACAAAGGGCTTCTCTTGATCTAACTGGCCCTATTTAGATCCTCACCTTCCCTTTTTCCTCCCTCCCCCTAGGGCTGGGTGACCAAGAGGGAAAATAAACTCACATTTAGGGTACCAGCAACTTCTAGAAAGAGTTTGATCTCCCAGTGAAATAATCATTACCTGCAAGAGAAGCACTCTGGGATGCTGGTATTGGTGTCATTTTCAATTACATATGGATGGCAGGAAGCGCCAAGGGATTTAGTGAGGCTCTGCTGGAGCTAGATGCTCCCAGTAGTGTTTACCGGTTGCCTTGATAAGTACCGCGTTCTCTGCCGAGAATGACCCTTCCTGAGCCGCGGCCACCACCACCTCCGGCACCGCCTGCTCTTCAGGCTCTAGGATGGGGCGCGTACCCATTGCCTGAGACGGGATCAGATGCTCCTTTTGTGCTTCCAGAGTACTGTCATTTACACTTCGGTGTTCGCTTTTATCCCCTGAGATTGCAGGTTAGTCAGTGTGCATGCCAGTCTGTGTTTCCCTTGTACTGCTATTTTTAGGAGCTTTTTAAGAGCTCCTGTTGTGGTCATCCCTCATCCTTAGCGCTGGACAGCGTATCTGTGGGGATTCCATAAGCTCCATCTGCATGGGCCTTGTTCCCTGGTGTTTGGTTATGAGTGAAAGAATATGTGCATGCCTGAGGTGGCCTAAGAATTTGGTCTTTACTTAGTATATTTAAAAATGCCTACAATCGAAAATAATTCTAAATAATTGTCATGAGTCAGGATTTCTGAGAAATAAACTGTGAGACAAAGATTTATGGGTAGGAAGCTGTTGGGGGGGGCGGTGCGTGCCAACAAGGTGAGCATCTAGGGAGTGAAAGGAGCAGCGTGAGCGGAGGGAGGAGTTGAGCTGCTTTGCAGTTGCTGCTGGAACTTCTGGGGCTGGGCTGGCCCTTCGGAGTCATCCGCCTTGAGGCAAGAAGGCCAGCCTTTATCCTCTGCCCCCATCCAGGCACTAGATTGGAGGTAATCCCTGGGGAAGGACAGGATCGTAGACAGAGCAGCTGTCTTCAGCTGAGGGCTGTTTCCAGAGAGGACCTCCTAAGAACCATCATCAGCCAGCACGCCTGGTGGCTGGGAGAATAAATGGCTTAGTCCTGAAGGGGGGACTTGAGCAGGGCACCACAGCAATATATTGAAGAGTGCCCCTCTGAGAATAGGCTTTCAGATTTAATGCAACAAAAGAAATGATTAATGTTGTTCCTATCAGTTAAAAACTTTAAAAGGTTTAAAGAGAAGTTCAGAACCGCTGGACAGCTTCCGGGCTCCAAGCTTGTTGAGTGAGAATACTGACTGCTCCCCTTGGGAGCTGTCCGGGGGAGGCCCAGCTCATGCAGTGTCTCGTCCATTTGCCCAGTGTGCCATACCAGTGTTGTCCCCTTCTATGTGTACAAGGCATGGAAAGGGCAGGGAAGTCTGAGAGCCCTTTCTTCTGTCTCAAGGCATGCCCAGGCTTTTCCCTCCTGGTGCCTAGGCTTTTCCCTCAGATCTCCAGGTGAAAGACTCCATCATCCCCTTTGGGACGTGTTCTGGTGACTCCATTTTCTTAAGGTCTAAATGTTTGTGTTCCCAAAGAGAACAAAAATGTTAGTAAGCTAGTTCTGTAATTGAGGGAAAAAAATGTATTTGGTGCAGGGGTTTTCTGTGAGATATAGGCCAATCAGTACCTTATCAATACTACCACTAATTTGGGACTTGATAATTCAGAGGTACATTCTAATGGGAGCTGACCTTAGTGTTCTCTCTGAAAAGGTCATTTGCTAAGCAGAAGAACAGATGGTGGGGGTCACAGATGCACCCACTCTGATGTAAGACCCGGTCTAGAGAGAGGCCCTATGAGCCAGCACCTTGTCCCATTTTTCAGATGCTTCTCCCATAGCTGGGGGGAGCCATATATCTGTTCCACAGTTAGTGAAAAGGAAAGACGCTCTTTCAAAAAACCGCTAAAGGATTTAGATTTTTTAATGTTAATACTGTATGGTATAATAATTTCTGGCTTCTGTCGCTAAGGATGATTCCTTTAGTGAGGGAATATCTGGTTATCTAACCTGTGATTTCTAAAATGTAGAACTTTGAGTTTTTTTATATGTGTGCAACACTCAGACTATTGTAGCATAAATTACATGTGGAAAAGGATAGCGTCACTTCGTGTCTTAAAAACCTGGCATCTGTCCTGATACATAAAAGTGTGTGCATTTTAATAACCCACAGTGTCCTTAGGTTGACAGTGTGAACAAAGAAGTATAATAATCGATCCTTTATTAAAGACCGTGAATAAAGTAGCTTAGTGAAGAAGTCTAGTGTTTCATTATTGCCTCTTAATTTTTCCTACAGGACAAAGTTCCAAAACCATCAGTTCATCCCCAAGCACTGAAAGTTTGCCTGGAGGAAGAGAATTCACTGGCTCCCCACCTTCATCTGCTACTAAAAAGGATTCCTTTTTTAGCAACATCTCCCGTTCCCGCTCACACAGCAAAACTATGGGCAGAAAAGAATCTGTAAGTATTTAAGGACACTTTTCCTTTTATCCTTCATCTTTCTCTAGAGTACTGCATTTGTTAAAAGGCCTTCAGTACTGAGTTTTATAAAGCTCTTAACATGTCTACAAACTAAAACAAATAATTTCATCAAAATTTTTTACTTTTATTATTTAACGTAGTAATATTTTAAGGCCACAGTCTGCATCGCACTGGGAGAAAAAAAAGCAGCATCAGTTTAAAGTAAATTGAATCCCAAATCTCCGTCCTTTCTTCCTCTGCAAATGCTTTTTTTTTTTTTTTAAAGATTTTATTTATTTGACAGAGAGAGACACAGCAAGAGAGGGAACACAAGCAGGGGGAGAGGGAGAGGGATAAGCAAGCTTCCCGCAGAGCAGGGAGCCCGATGTGGGACTCGATCCCAGGACCCTGGGATCATGACCTGAGCTGAAGGCAGTCGCTTAACCAACTGAGCCACCCAGGCGCCCTCTGCAAATGCTTTTTTGTCAAAGCCTGCGTTTTTTTCTAAAATGTAACAAGTAGCATTATACCAAATAATAGATTAAGACACTTATAAAACAAACCACAGTGTTTTTTCAGTTTTAAGTTATTTCTTGAAAAGTAATTATTTTACCACTTGTTTTAAAAAGTTATACAAATTACATTTGCATGATGGTATGTTGATAGCTACTCTCTAAGATCCTTTGTATACATTGCTCAGAAGGGCATATCTAAAGCATCTCAACCACTTTAAAAATCTGGTTGTGTCTGAAATTGTTTTTATGCCAACTTCACAAAAAATAAAACATTTAGCCACATCTTATGGGTAATTCAACACCTAGTATTCTAATATAAAGAATCCATCTGCCCACTGGAAGAAGATGCCCATATAAGGTATTACAGAAAAGGATCTAGCTATTACTGAACTAGTTCTAAATTAGAAAACAACAACAAAACTTTCAAACCTTTGAGGGACAATTATTTATGGTATGTAGAATAGATAACAGCATGATATCTACTTGTATGACGGGGTAGGACCTTGGGCAAAATACTCAGATTCCTGGTACTTCAACTATGTCATCTACAAATGAAACAACACACTTTGCCCTCCAAAGGAAGAGTTCACCACATAGTCTCTTGGAGTCCCTTTCACATGTGACAACTATGATTCTCTTGATTTGTAGAAGAATAGAATGGAACTCTCATTTAAAGATGGCAGCTTTAATGCAAGCAGTTAGCTCTGCTCCCTCCTAGCCTCCACTCCAAGGACAGTCAGGGTTGTTAAAGGTAAACCCTCAAGGAATAAGGAAACAGGAGAAAAGATAGTAACAAGATTTTGTTCCTTGTAAAACAGATGTTAAGTGGTAACTGACTTAGCAGCCTAAGAAAACTAAATGTTAAGTCAGCAGTAGGTAAAAACCAAGAAGCAACTTGACTTAGATTGTAAACTCCTCTCGAAGCTCAGGAGCTGTAAATGGAGTGAAGTTGGAACTTGCTTTTCAAGAAGCAATTAGAGGAATGGGTGAAACAGGTGATGGGGGATGAAGGAGGGCACTTGTTGTGATGAACACCAGGTGATGTATGGAACTGCTGAATCACTATATTACACTTGAAACTAATATAACACTGTATGTTAACTGTACTGGAATTAAAACAAAAGAAAAAAGAAACAAGTAGATTCCCTTTCCCACTCTGGCAGAAGACTGGAGGTTTACTCCTCTGAAAAGTGTAAAACAGAATGTCTCCGGACTGAGAGAGGTCAGGCACATTTGAGTACCCCCTACCAGAAGAGGAATGATGAATATATTTAAATGCTGAATCTGAGATCCCCAGGCCTCACCCCACTTGCTTCCCAGAATACCAGGATGTCTGTCCCTTCAGGCAGGAGATGAAAAGAGTTTTCTCTAGATAAAAGTTACAAATTTTTAAAAACACACAAATATGCTGACCTTAGGTGTTGTCCAGGGAAACAGCCAGTTCACTTTAGAGTGGACCCACCCTTCACAGCTCTATCCACACACAGAAGTTTCTCTTAGCTTTTAGTTCAGACTACTTTACATGACAGCCAGGGTTCACCAGATACTTGAAGAGAGCATCTGTTAGTTAAAGACCGGCAAAAGCAAATAGAAGAAAGTAACTGGGAGAAAACAGTTTATGTAGGGGAAGAACGTTTCAGAAAAAAGAGAAAGAAAAAAAGAAAGAAAGAAAGCATTCAGAGAGTAAGGACAAAAGCTATTAGATATCAAAATATGATGTCTGAAATGTAAAGCTTAGTAGAAGAGCTGGAATTGATAAAATTGAGGAACTCTCCCAAGAAAACAAAATACAAGACAGAAATAGAAAGTAAGGGAGAAAAATAGAAGAAAATTAGAGAACCAACCTAAGAGGTTCAAAACCTGAAAAATAGAAGTTCCAGAAAGAGAGAGGAGAAAATGAAAGGAAGGAGATAATAAAAAATATAATTAATTAAACATTCCACTTATGAAAGACCTGAGTTTTCAGATTGAAAAAGTCCTAGAAAGTCCCACACAAGTAAAAATAAACCCACACCCAGATACATCACTATAAAAGGTCAGAACTCTGAGAACAAAGAGATATCCTCCAAATTTATAGAGTTGAGGAAAAAAAAGGATTTCCATCAAAGGATCAGGAATTAAAATAGCTACAGGGCGCCTGGGTGGCTCAGTTGGTTAAGCGACTGCCTTCGGCTCAGGTCATGATCCTGGAGTCCCAGGATCGAGTCCCGCATCGGGCTACCTGCTCAGCAGGGAGTCTGCTTCTCACTCTCCCGCTCCCCCCTCTTGTGCTCTTTCTCTCTCTCACTCTCTCTCTCAAATAAATAAATAAAATCTTTAAAAAAAAAAAAAACTACAAATTGCTCATAGGAACACAAGAAGCAAGGCAATGGAGGAATACCTTTAAAGTTCTAAGAGAAAATTACTTCTGGCCTTGATTCAATACCTCACCAAACTAATTGTGAGGTTAGAATTAAGCCACTTTGAGATAGTCAAGATTCAAAAACCTTATTCCCACGTACCCATTCTCAGAGTCCACTGGAGGATGTGATCTACAAAAATAAGGACATACACTAAGGATGGGCAATACCTGAGAACAAGGAAAATGGAATATCCAGAGCAAGACAAAAAGATTCCTCAGAATGAGGGCGCCTGGGTTGCTCAGATGGTTAAGCGTCTGCCTTCGGCTCAGGTCATGATCCCAGCGTCCTGGGATCAAGTCCCGCATCGGGCTCCCTGCTCCTTGGGAGCCTGCTTCTCCCTCTGCCTCTCTCTCTCTCTCTGTCTCTCATGAATAAATAAATAAAATCTTAAAAAAAAAAAAAAAGATTCCTCAGAATGATAATATGGGGAGCTTCCAAAACTAAATAGAGCACAGCTATTTAGCAGGTCCAGAGAGCAGTAGCCAGCCCAGGTGGGAGCAAGTCAGAAGGTTCTAGAAAGTTTTCTCCAAAAAGATGCTATTTGGGGAACAAGTAATATATTTGAACAAGTTAAGAGGTTTAAACTAGGGGTGAGTTTGGGTTTGAATTAATGATAACTTTATAGAAACTAAGCCACTGAAACACAGGACAATTTGTAACTCCAAAGAAGAACAGAGGAAGAAAGGTTATGATAAGCCTTGTAACTGAGCCATGACTAGAATTTACATAGACATTATAATGAAAGCCTATTGACTATTAATCTAATCAAAATCATGGGGGGAGGGGCACCTGGGCGGCTCAGGCAACTGAGCATCCGACTCTTGGTTTCGGCTCAGGTCATGATCTCTTGGTTGTAGGATCGAGCCCCTTATCAGGCTCTGCACTCAGCACAGAGTCTGCTTCAGATTCTCTCTCTCTCAAATAAATGAATAAATAAAATATTTTTTTAAAAATCATGATAAAATTCTGTGGAGAATATTGGGTGTGGGAACTGTGTGTTTGCATGGGGAGGGGAGTGAACAGGTGGTAGTGGTCACTAGACCTAAATCTTTATCTTCCATAGTGAAAAATAAGTGTGTAATAGTCTCTAGAAAAAGTAAAGAGGTAGCAATATAAGCTAGAGATATTGAGATGAAAAAAAAATGGGTAAAAGAATTGAAAGTGGTCCCTTCTGGAGAGCAGGAAGTAGAGGGTGGGGCTGTGTGAACTGTTTTTCATAACAGGCCTTATAGAACCATTTGACTCTTCAAAGTGTTATATATATAACTTAGATTAAAAATAATAACTAAAAATCAAAACAAAAACAGAATGTATTGGCATAAAAATTAGAAGAGATGTCTGCCTGTACAAAGAACATGTCTAGGAAGAACCAGAATAAGGAATAACAAACGATAAAGGCATATGGAGACATGTTTCATTTGCATTCTATCATATTTTGGTGGCATATGGATTAGTCTACAACACCAATTAATTCCTTTTCTTTATGGTGATAACTGTAACTTAAAACTGAGAAGTCAGGCAAAAATAGAAATAGAGTAAGTCTAACTCTCTACGTAGACCTGTTATGTACCAAGAAACGGAATTAAAATTATTATTCAAAATTTACTATATTCTCTAACCGTGGGAAGTAAGTAGGCAGAAATTTTCAAGAGAAAGCCCCTGGTTTTTCAGTAGGTTGTCTGATTATTCTATGAAATAAGGTAGTCTGTGCTCTTTGCCAGGTAATTCCAGTTCTCCCCCATTCGAAGGCAGTTGGTAGGATTGCACCTCTTTGTCTCCCGTGAGCTGTCAGAGCCACATGACTAGTTCTGGCCCGTGAGTTGTAAGGGGAAGTGATGTGTATGCATTTACCACTGCAAGATCTTCCTCAGCTCTCTCTTTCCCTCTGCCAACCCATGAGAGACCCCAAGTATGAGTGAGAAATAGCCTTTATTGATTTATGCTGAGACTGTTGCTTATCACAGCCTAATGGTACACAGTTGGAAATGTTCAGACCCATAGCTGGGAACCATTCTCCCGTGGGACCCACATACCACCATTGTGTTGCTACCCTGATGGCACCCGAGCCCATGACTGGGCCCCC